TATCACATGTTTCTGTTGCTGTACCTAATCTGCATACTGTCCTTCAAGGTAAATAGAGATGTTTGTGGGTTACAGTTATTTTAAACACCTTCACCTGGTTTAGACGAATATACAGGGTGTTTCAGAACTAAGGGATCAAACTTCTAGGGGTTATTCAGTGTAACAGAAAAAATTTAAGTATGGGGACCCATATCCGGAAAAGTGTCACTACGGCTCTAAGGCCCGTATCGTCAGTCGTCCCTACAATTGTAGGGCGCGTTAAAGGCCTCCTTGATTGTCATACTCCTTTCTCTCCTTCAAAAATTTCTAGATTACACTTGTCCCGTGTCAGCGTCAGCGCTCTCCTATTGTGAAGATATGTTTTCTTTTTAAATTGTAGGAAATTTCAGACTGATAAAACATGATATAACTCAAAAGCAAGCACAATTTGATGCAAATAGATGTTTGTGACATAACCTCAAAATAGAGCGCTGACACGGAGAAGTAGAAAACTATGACAATCAAGGAGGCCATAAAGGCGCCTTACAATTGTAGGGACGACTGACGATACGGGACTTAGACCTGAATTTGTAGATAAATACAACGACGCTTTAAGAGAACTCGATATTGTCAAAAATAGCTGTTATCATGTATAAGTTGTAACCATGGAGCTTGTATCGTTTCATCCCAGGGTAAAGTCAGATGAAAATTAGAGAGGCATTTACTCAAATTTAATACCTATTTTCCAGTTATACAGGTTAAAATATGAAAAGGGTTGGGATTTTCATAAATAATATAATTTAATATTATTATTTTTCGACCTTCACCTTGGGCTGTCGGAAACTATAAGAGATATGAAGTCGTTTAAATGGTGCCAAAGTTGGGCATTTAGGTGATCAATAAAATGTCGCTTAGAAAGTTTTGAAACTCAAAGTATTCCCGGAGAGAGATGGAAAAAACCGAATTTTCTCAAAATCCATTTTATTTTTTCGTGGCTGTATTTGTAGAGGGATGTCAAAATAAAGTGCACATCAACATTGCCACTTTTTCTTCTCTACAAGAAGGTATAATTAGAATTTCAATATGTCGTTTCATCCCTTGCCCTCCAGCATCAACTTTATTTTTTCTTATGGGCGCCACATTGAATTTTTGCACAGATAAATAGAGTTTTTAATTCTGATTCCAAAAACGTATAATACATTGCCAAACCTTAGTTATTTGAAAAAAGCAGAATTTATGTATTTTTATCATTGAGTTTCCACATTAAAAGTATTTAAAGAAAAGAAGAAATTGAAAATTATAAAAAATTGTATTTGCCCTTTCAGGGTTGTTCATTACAATTATATATGAGTAAATGTGGCATGACGTAATCCGTTTCGAGAAATTTTCGACTACTCTGTGGCACAAATCATGTCAATGTTGGGAATTTCACGCTTGATCTCCTGTTTCAGCTCCGCAATTTTGTTCGGGTGATTCTTGTAGACTTTGCTCTGGAGATACCCCCAAAGAAAATAATCTAAGAGAGTTAAATCACAGTATCGCGGCGGCCAACTGATATCGCCGTAACGTGCAATAACGCGACCTGGAAACTTGCCGCGCAGTAATTGTATCGTTTCTCCTGATGTGTGACAGGTGGCGCCGTCCTGTTGAAACCAGAGATCTTCGATGTCCATATCTTCCAACTTTTCCCAGAAAAACTCTGTTATCATGTTCCGATAGCGAACGCTATTAACGGTAACAGCGTTCTCCGCATGATCCTCGAAAAAAAAAATGGACGAGTTACGCCTCCGGACCAAAAGGCACATCAAACAGTCACCTTTTGAGGATGCATTTTCGCTTAAACAATCTGTCTTGGATTTTTCAATCTCCAAATACGGCAATTGTGACTGTTTACGAAGCCCCCAATGTGAAAATGTATCTCATCGCTAAATATTATTTTCATTGGAAAATTTACCCCTTGTTCTCTTATCTATTCGGCAAACACACGGCGCTGTTGATGGTCCCTAGGGTTCAATTCCCGTGTTATTTGGACTCTGTGTGGGTGTAACTTCAAATATTTTGTTATAATCCGCTGTGTAGTGAAATAGGTAAGGTCCAGTTGCTGCGATCGTTGACGAATCGATGTGCTTAGATTTTCGGCCACACTATCGGCAACAATAGCAATATTGTGTTCCGACCGACCTCTCCGAGCATGCTTAGGGATTTTGATGTCAGCGACGGATCCACTTTACTCGAATTTTTGCACCAAATTCCAAATTGTCCTCTCACAAGGTCGATTTTGTGCGCCAAAAAATTCACGTAAAGCACGAAATGTATTCTTCCTTGATCGGCCGTTTTCATAATAGGCTTGGATAATTTTAACACGTTGTTCGGTCGTATATTGCTCAATGTTTTGTTTATATTTTGACGTTAGAAATGGCACGTTGTCGTTGACAAATTCAGTGGCGTTCCAAAAAAGAATTTATTTGTAATGTGGAAACTCAATTTGAATACCATATATAATATATTTATCTTTCCAGATTTATCCCAAAATCACTTTTATTTTTTCCTGACTTTATTCGAGTTGGGATTTCACAATAAATTGTTACTTATTCTCCTCCATCACCAATTTTGTTTTTCATATGGAAGCTATACATATATTTTGTACACTTAAATGGACCCTTCAGTCCTAAATTCAGTGTCGCATTTCCTTTGTTGGCCATGAATTTGTTTTTGGATGAAAATTATAAGGAAATAAAAAGGTACGGCGAAACCTGGACACAAAATGAAAATTTTATTGATGGTGATAATAATTATCATAAATAAGTAGAAGTAAATGATAGCAGATGTTCAAAATGTTGTCCGTTATTTTGTAGGCAAAGCCTGACTCTTCTCTGCACACTGTTCACTGTTCGATTTATTTACCATCTTCTCAGTCTTCCAAACTCTGTTTGAGGTCTGGTCTGATATACAAAATGTTTTTCTTGAACAACTAAGTTTGTCAATCAATGTCAATGTATGACATATTTTTGAACTCAGAATAAAAAACTCTATTACCTGCGCAAAAATCTAATATGGCGTCCATAAAAAGAATAAGGTTAATGCCGGAAGACAAGAGACGAAACCTCATATTGAAATTCAAATTATGCCATCTTGTAGAGGAGAAAAAGTAATGTTGTTAATCTGCAATTTATTTTGAAATCTCACTAAAAATAAAATCAGAACAAATTGAAACGATTTTGGGAAAATTCGGTTTTTTTCGTCTCAGTCCGGAAGTACTTTGAATTTCGAAACTTTCTAAGCGGCATTTTGTTGATTACCTTAATACGGAGCTTCGCCTCCATCTAAGCTACTTCGTATCTCTTACAGTTTCCGAGATCCCAGTGGTGAGGGTCGAATTTGAAACGCCCTGTATAGTGATATATAAAACAAAACAAACGTTTATTCTGATATTCTGAAATTTATTTTTGATAGATTTTTCTTCTGCATACTGTTCCACTACAGCTGTAGCTACTATAATCCAAAAAACGATAATGCTAGTATATATTGGTACAACACTACTTTAACATTTTATAGAAACATGTAAAATAATCAAGTTCCTGCATGTTCTGCAGTAGCCTTCAGTGGATCCGGGACAAACGCCTATTCAAGTCTGATTATGTCTAAGTGAGGGATATCTGTTTCCGTGATTCCAAGTTCACGAAACTTATTTGACCGAGTTGCTTAATGAATGTCGCCATCTAGTACATATACAGGTACTGAATGAATAAGTTAGTCACAAGAGCAGTATTTATCTGTTGACAATAATTCGTATAACTGCGGATTCCCTGGGAAAGTAACTTATTTGCCCTTAATCATGAATACAACCAACTCCATAACTTCAAATCCGTAAGACACGTGACAGATACATTTTTAGAACCAGGTCGCAACCATGACGTTATTGTAAGAATACGTTTGGTTATAAATTGGTTGCCCTTGAATTAGAACCGCCGCCAAAAGTATCTGCTAATATTCACTGGAAAATATACTATTTGAATTGCTTCAGCTGGGTGTGACATACTTTTCAGATACTACTAAAAACATATTTTTTACGTTTATACAAATTTTTAATGTCTCTATGAAAATATGTTATAATGTGTATTTAGCATTACAAAGTGCATTCGTATATAGTTATTCTAGTTGCATATAAAGAGATTTGTGGAAATTGTAGTGAAAGTCGAGAGTGGAACATGCCAGTGGAGTATACAGTTTGTGAATTTCAAAAATGAGATGTTTTTCGGATGTTATGACATGTGCATCACGAAAAACCATGTCACTTATTTCCATCGGTCGGTCTGTCTGCCTGTCCGCTCATCATTGGCCCATCTATAACTTAGAAAGTACCGCCCGGATTTGGATGAAATTTTTACACAATGTTGCACCTACATATGTCAAGGACGAAAAAGCTTTGTAGTTTTTGAAAATCGCTCCTGTAGCAGGGGAGCGACGGGACAAAGGGCGAAGAAATAGAAATCGTTCTAATGTAGGTGGTGGGGGAGGGTATATCTATGTACCTAATTGACATATTTCTCACATCATAGTCATAGAGAAACGTTTTCAATATGCATTTCTGCTTCTGTTCTCTGAGTTCACCGGCGGGCGTGCCGGTCTCGTTAAGTGTCCCGCTATTACTGATGCGTCGTGCGGTCAGGTATGGTGAAGAATCTACGTATCCAGATGATCGGTTCTACCGCTAGGCCAGACAAAGAATGTATGGACTAATTGTATAGACCTATTTGACTGACAAGATCCGTTTAATGTCTCTGTTACACATGTTCGTGAATAACTTTTTTCTCAGAGAGTCTGACTTGTGCAGAACATAGTCCTTTAACCCACCTAACGCTATTTTTCATGTTTATATAACTTTTTAAAGTATATGTCCTATTTTCAAGTATGGCACCTTTAGAAATTTAAACTAACGTTTTTGAAAAATAGTAAGCCTCCTAAACTATCAATTTATTGTATATGTCTTAATATCTTTTTACTGTCATTGTTTTTTTCAGCATTTCATTCTTGTCGAATTTGAGGAACAATCTGAAGTCCAAAATCTCCTGAAAAATACCTCGTATGTTGACGAAACACTAATTGTTCCAACATATTCACACTTTCTATGGTTCAAGGCCCAAAACAAGAAGTCTCCGAAGGTGAGACAAATCGATGGCGCTGTTTTGTCTATCGAAAATGGAACTAGGATTTTAAGTGACCACGAAATCATTAGTTCACTGAGACAGTGTGAAAATGTAAGCGTAATCATGGTTTTAGTACTTTTTGCATTAATTAATTTAGTGTCCTTTAAGATATCAGAACAAATGAAGTTACTGTATTCGTTAACCAAATTGAATTACCTGGGCTCGAGGCTGAGGTATCTCACAGTGTTACAAATAGATAATATGGTATCAGGAATGTTCCCGCATGCTCAAGCTTATCCGTTTGGTTCTAGTGTAAATGGTTATGGAAAAATGGGATGTGATTTAGATCTAGTTCTAAGGCTTGTTGATAAAAAGGTAAGAAAAATAATATGAATGTATTCTCAGTGACATTAGAAGTGTAACACCGAGAAAAAATAATTTCATCAACTTGTTTTTTTGGCAACATAATGACTATATTTAAAACATGCTGTGGCAACAATTTCAACGTTTTATCTCTGTTTACCTTTGTTAAAATGTTATCTGTTAGTTTCCGTGAAGAAAGCAGTTTCATTTACTAGTGTTAAGCGTAACCAAATCATTATCACCATCTTAGCGACTTTGACAGGTGTAGAATTATTGCCTATCGAGATGTTGATTTGTCCTATCGCGAAATTGGCCGCCGTGTTAATTGTACTGCAATGACGGTAATGCGTGTGTGGATAGAAGGTAGAGGAACACGAAGAAGACCAATTGGTCCACCGAGGCGTACCAAAGAGCGTCAAGCTAGGCGCTTCAGACAACTAGCCCTACGAGACCGTTTTGCTGCTACGCGTCAGATTGCTGACCAGTGGTTTGGAGAAGAAGGCATTCGAGCCTTTAGACTTTTTCATATCGCACACGGTTAGTGCTTCCTCTGACTGCGGATTACTGTCGTCAACGTTTGAACTGGAGCAGAGAACGGCAACATTGGGAGGTAGAATGGCATAATGTCATCTTCATCGACGAATCGCGATTCTGACTAGGTACACATGATGGTCGTGGAAGGGTAAGACGCCTCCGTGGAGAACGGATAAAGAACTGTATTCAGCTGAGGGGTCGCCCAACTCATTATTAATTTTATTTTCTTATTGTCAATAAAATTTCATACTTTCATTCTTGATGTAAAACTACCTCATTGCCAAAACATCAAGTTGAAGAAATTGTTTTTTCTGGGTGTAACACTTCTAATGGCACTGAGTATATTATTTGTCATTATCATTGAAACATCATCTTCGTGATCGTAATTAGTGTCGCTATCCTTATTGTCATTTGGAGCCCATCCTCACGGATGTGTGCCAGTGGGTAGTGAAAAAATGATAAAATACCGGTAAAGTTTGACAGGAATGAACGGCAATGAGTTGTGCTACCTTAATGAGAGGATTTTTATCTAGGAGTTTTTTGGGGCAAGTTGATAAATCGCTTCATGGATTGATTTGAATATAGCTATTGGAGGAATCCCTATAACGGGATATTGAAACGCAACTAGATCATGAATATTTCGTCGATAGATCATGGGAATTATTGAATAATTAACTGAAAAAACTCTTGATACGCATAAATTTGTCCTGAAGTGACTTTAGGACCTAACTGTCACATATTCCGGAAGGAATTATTTTCCTTCCAAAACATGTAATAGCTTATTCACATGGCACTATTGAACGCTCCTGACATTATCATTATCGCCATTGTCGTCCTCTTCATTCTTATCGTCATCTTCACCCTCTTCGCTATCGTCTAATGGTAACGATGATAATTCATCATCATCATGATCTTTATCGACATTATTCTTAAAGATCAAATGACTTGTGCCACGCCTTTTTTTATAAACAAAAGGAAATGGTGGAGTGTTTCTCCCTAGGTATGGGCTGCTTGCCTCATATTCAAAATTTACTTTGTGAAAAAATCCTAGAGAGAGAAAGACTGCTTAAAAATCTACTCTCTATTCTCTGTGAGACAAAACTACTCATTAAAACACGCGAAAATGAAAAACCATGTACATTGTTAAAAGTAAAAATGCAATGGAGTAAGATCATTAGACGGTGCCAATGTAGGCACTGTCCCGCATTTGAACTCGAAAAGGCCAAACAAAATCAAGTACACTCTAAGAATTTCAGTCAACAATAATAAAAGCACCGCCATCGGTTTTTTGGACAAAGAAAAACTGTTATGGAAAACCCTTTCTATTAGACTTGCAAGAATATACAGCACCTATTTCAATCAAATATTTAATAGCAATCTCTGAATCTCTGCTATTTATACGAGTCACAGCGGACTCAAATATTTGATATTCTTTACTCTGAAAACGAATTCGATAAGCTCTTTTGGCTTCCAAAATTACCGGATTGCTTGTACCCTGTTCTCAACAGAATATCGTACCTCTATTTGTTGTAATTTTGCTTCCTGTCCTCCACTCCAGCAAGCCCCTGGTTTGGTGACCTGTTTTGGAAATCTTGGATATGCTCCTTCTGGAGGAGTGGGATTGTGTTTTCATCCTCTCTCTGCTCTGTTGGTGCTTCCATTTTAAAGAAGAGCAGGAAGGTCGCTTTGTCAAAAACCTGAAATCCCTGCTGGCTTTCTTCACAGCCTTGCATGGGTTAGAGAAATCTGACACAAAATGATAAGGTTTTCTTTCCTTTCCCTTCACAACAAAGAAATGAATGATGGATCTCGCGTTCTAAGAATTCCGGACATAAACCTAGTCCACTCTTGGAATATCCGGGTGGAGGGTGGGCTCGCGAAAACGACATCGATGATAAAATCCCTTTCGCGATCATCTGAGGAATTTACAGCAATATTGATACTATTCACCGCTCTCTGCAGTCTAATTGTCCCGCCATGCTTGCAGGTTTCGGTCAGAACTGGCAGTGGCAGCAGAAACTCGCCCAGACCGCAAAATTTGGCATTAGAACATGCTGAATGGAAAGGACTCTGAGACCTTTTCTCTACCTTTTGTTGGATATACCTGTATGTTTGTTTCGCTGACTGGTTTATGTATGTCGGCTGCCTGTTCGTCAATATCAGAAATTATCCAGTTGGGGTCTAGGAATACATGCCTCCGTACAAAGTAATCCTCCTGCCCATTCCAGATAGTCGTACAGGATTTTCATTCTCTACTATCCTTCAAGAACTTAGACTGGTCCGGACTTGATTCCTGCCGTTGTACTGGAGAGATGCGCAGCGTAGCTTGTTCCAGTTATTTCGCATATCTTCCAGATATGTCCAGCCTATCCCAAAAAAGGATCTAAGACCGACCCTTACAACTACAGGCCTGCTTTCTATTATGAGTAAGGTGATGGGGAGGTGCATAAATCGGACCTTCTGGAATATCTCGAACGTTACGACTTGATTAGCGACAGGCAGTATGGTTTCCGAGACCAGCGATCCACAGGGGACTTCCTAGCTTACTTCACGCAACTGTGGAGTAAACTCACCCAGTTTTATGGTGGGGACCATGTCATTGCTCTTGATATCACAGAAAGTGTTCGATCAGCTGTGGCAGGCTGACCTCTTATGTAAACTTCCATCCTATGGCATCCCAGCGAAGCTTGGCAGATTGATGGCTGACTTTCTCTCTGACCGCAAGATATCCGTCGCAATTAACGGGTTCTCGTCTTCACCCCACAATGTCAATGTAGGTGTTCCCCAGGGATCGGTCTTGGCTCAAATATGGTTCCTCTTACATATCAACGGCCTCCTTCCCTTTACAATCAATCCGATCCACGGCATTGCTGATGACAAACTTTCTGTAGCAACCGATGATGTATCAAAGGTACTTGATAACTTTGTAATTTGAAAAAGGGCCTCTGAGGTGGCCGAACGTTGGTAAACAGCCAATCCTACATATGTGGCTTCATTTAGCGGCCAGAAAAACATGGAGGTTTATTAGGTAAGCAAATACCTGAATATGCTTCACATAAGAATCTTTCTTTAAACCCTCTGAAGAGGAAAAACATTTAGTGTCCGAGTTAAGTTTAGGTGCGTTGAGAGCTGGAACATTTTTAGGTAAATCCCACGCATTCGGAATCTGATCACTTGGTCTCTCTGTCTAATCCTAAAGTAATATACTTTGACCAACGTGAAACTAATTTCTTATCCAATGGAATCTCCTGAGGAAGAGAAGAGCCTGGATCAGCCCCTAAAGTGGCCTGAATTTGTGAGTTTGAGAGGATGCAAGTTCTGATTGATTCTCCACTCCGGACTCAAACAATGGAGGTATAAAGGAATTGGAAGAGGAAGTCTGTTTCCATGGCCTTCGCGATCACCAGACTTAACTTGTCTTGATTTTTATTTATGGGGACGGTTGAACGACATCGTGTTTCAGAGTCAACCTACAACCAGAGAAGATATGAAAAACCGGATTCGTAGTGCAGTTGCAGTTTTGACCATCCATGAGAGGCTTCAGGAATGCCTAGATCGTGATGGACAGCATTTCGAGCATTTAAGGGAGCATTAAAAACCATTCTTTTTTAAATCGGTCCTTATTAGATCCACAACTTAATTATAAAAAGAGATTCCAGAAAAATTAGTTTCGACAAATAAAAATTTAAGGGATTTCCGTATAAGATGTTCTTTGGCGCAAATTCTAGGTTGAGAACAAAATATCGAGATGCGGTTTTCGCGAGCTTGTTTAGACATCATTTAACTACTTGTTCATAAAAAACAGAATTTGAAATGCCATTTATAACTGTTGTCATTATTATTGAAAAGGATAAGATATGTTTTGGTTTCAGTTAACCCATAAGAAATATTGTATTCGAATATTTCGTTTGCACTGTGATGTACTTACTTTACTGTTTCAACTTAGTGAAGCATAATATGCCTTTTGATATTTTTTAGAGTTCCGAAGAGAGCAGACTGATGTTCCATTGCAAGGTTTCCAATGGGTCGGAGAGATCTACAAACCAACGGCATATAGAAGCATTTGGTGACATGATTCACTTGTTTCTTCCTGGATGTGTACAAGTAAGAAGGATAGTGCAGGCTAGAATTCCTATTATAAAATATCACCAACAGCTGACTGATGTGGAATGTGATTTATCGATAGGAAATATGTAAGTTCCTTTTTGCATCATAAAATTAACCCTCTCTTACTTCCTTTTACTTCTCATGCCAATACGACACGGCAGTATTGTAATCGTAAAAAAAAAATTGAAATCAACTTATGTTTCTCGGATGTTACACGTAGTGTAACCTCGGAACTCTTTTGACTGAATAGCTTTTTGAGATAATTAGTGGAATGTGTTAAAATACCATAATATATACTATAAAAAGCAAACTAGCATTCAAATTAGAGAATATATGACTTAGCTTGCGTAATTTAATAAAGAAGTATTTAATGTTATGTCTTTATACGTACCTGATGTTTGCATATACCGGTGTTCTTTAATGATATGCGAATATTTAAGGGTGTGAATCTCCATGAAAAATTAATTTTAGTTTGCTTTATAAACTATGGTTCAAGAATGTTTCCTTACAAAAACTCAGGGTGTTGAAGTTTTAGGAAAAAAATGGAAATTAATTAATATTTTCAGAACCGCTTCATATATTTCACTGATATACGTAGTGAAAGTTAATAAAGTTGCATATTTTTCAATGCAAAAATAATATTTAGCAGTGGCGTGCGTATGGGTATTGACTTTGATATTTTTTAAGAAAAAAATAGTACGCCAATGTTTTTTTGCCATAATTTTTTAATTCTCCGTTCAATTTAAAACAAATGATCTCTCTTGAATTGTTTTCCTTCGATGCGCCATTTTTGAGTAACAAATAAAAACCGTTACATTGTCTAACTTGCAAAATTATTAATAATTTAATGGAAAAATTAAACACATTAGGGGTAATGAACAACAACACCACCGCGGCGAATCCAACGATTTTGATAAAGTTTTTAAGTAATTACGAACCGCTACACTGAAATGCACTGGTGCATCATCATGCATGTACCACATATTGTTTCTTATTACTAATGGAACATCAAGCAGCAAAGGCAACTGTTGTTGAAGAAAATTGAGGTAAGTCTGTCCGTCAAGTCGTCCCGGCAAGAAGAATGGGCCAATAAAGTGGTTGCCAATATTTCCTGCCCATACTTTAACCGAAAATTGGTGTTGGAAATGGGTTTTGGTTATGGCATAGGGATTTTCTTCTGCAAACAAATGATTATTGTGGAAATACTAAATGGTATTTTGAAAAAAATTAGCTTCGTCCGTGAACAGAATCATTGTCTCCGTAGGTGGTAGACGGTCTCTGACTGTCGAACGTGGAGGTACCACCCGCCGGATCTCGTAGGCGGAGCCAGAATGTGTGCATGTTGCATGCACACGTGTTCCCTCGCCAGAGTCCGTGTGGCGTTCCCCCTTTCCCCTGTATCCCCCTATAGCCCCACGGTGCCCAATGGGTGTTTAGGCCTTAGGCTTTCGTGGTAGTTGGAATATATAAAAAAAAAATTGATTCAAATTGCGGATTTTGTGTAATTTTTTGAAGATACCACTGATAAAAAGTCACACGCCTTGGAAAATCAATGGGAAGTAATGCCTGTACTCTGAAAATATGGTAAGGATATGACAAAAAATCAACTAAAATTCTAAAAACAATTTGATGTCAAATATTTAAGTGTTTAGCGATCTTCCTCGTACTCGTTTCAGGATGTTCTTCGACTTCGTGCAGCACTGCTTCCTCAATTTCAGGTGTTCTCACCCTTGGAGGTCTACCTTCAGATGTTCCTTTTCGGACAGAACCAGTTTTAACAAGACGACGATGAATATTAGAAAAGGTTCGACTATCTGGCACGATCAGGATATCTCTGGCGATAAATCCGTCTGGCTTGCTCACCATTACCGTCGGCAAGGCCATATATGTAATGCATTTCCGCCATTTCTGCATTTGAATAATTCACCATTATTAAAAAGATTGTAAAAACTAAGTAATGAAAAAGATGACTTGTCAGATGTCAAAAGCCAGTGACATATTCCAGAGCAACTAGATATTTATTGCTAAATTGCATTCTTCAATTATTATTGCATTAATTTTCTCGGACAATAGAACGGTTTTTATTTGTTTACTCAAAAATGGCGCATCGAAGGAAAACAATTCAAAAGAGATCATGTGTTTTAAATTGAACGGGGAATTGAAAAATATTTTTTATTTGGCAAAAAACCATTGGCGTATCATTTTTTCGTTAAAAAATATCGAAGTCAATACCCGTACGCACGCCACTGTTAAAGCTAAAAATTATTTTTGCATTGAACAATATGCAACTTGAACTTTCACTACGTACTAAATATCAGTGAAATATCTGAAGCGGTTCTGAAAATATTAATTAATTTCCATTTTTTTTTTCCTAAAACACCCCGAGTTTTTGTAAGGAAACATTTTTGGACCATAGTTTATAAAGCAAACTAACATTAATTTTTCATGTAGATTCACACCCTTAAATATTCGCATATCATTAAGGAACACCCTGTCTATACGTATATGTTCACAAAATAAAAAAAGGACATCAACCTCACACGAGGCGTAGAAGCTCGGATACCTTTCAATACCAATGATTTATAGAAATCTAATTCAACGTTATTTCACATATATCTTGTTAAAACATATATGAAATACCCCCACATATCAGAAACATCAGGAAACAACATCTTTTCTAAAACAATGTAAACTATACATCAGGGCTGTCCAACTTAATGTGGCCCAAGGGCCACTTCAAAAGAAAAAGCAGTTTGGAGGGCCGGATTATAAAATCTTTCTATACAACATTATTACTGAGTTAATGTAAGAATTGTGCATATTCGGTATTTGAGAGTAATTTATACATGTGATGTATACCTGACCCGTGAAGCGGGCCGCAAGAAAGGAGTTCGCGGGCCGTATGTTGGACAGCCCTGCTATACATTATAAATAGTTAAACATTGAAATTTTAGACACATTCAACTAAGCAGCTATCGATTATGTACTAATAAATGTTGCTAATATTTACTTAAATAATTCACATACAATATTTTTTTTATTTTGATTAAACACTGCTATTAAATTAGGTAGGTGCTTCATTATAATGTAGTATACCTATAAAAAGCTATGTAATACCACCATATTTATAAAATTATATTCTATCAGTTTATTTGACACAAAACTCAACAGTTCAAATGTTACCACCTGATTATATCAACATTTCACAAAATTGATCTAGAGTTTTAGAAACTCGAAATTCTAGGGCCGAATTCATTCGTTTATTTTTTTGTATTGTATTAAGTGCAATGCCGTGTAACTTACTACTCCGAATTAAGTATTATTACGCAGAAAAAATTACAATAAATGATACAAATGGAAAGCAAAAATTATGTTAATGTATCCTAATTAGTTTTTCGTTCATGATTTATTGATTTGATTCTACCAACTGATGTACAACCTTAGTTTTGCTTTAATGGGAAATATGAATTAGTAAAGGGTGGGCCATCCATTCGTTTCTTTTTTAAATTGGTATTAAAACTACACTCTTCAATAATATGTAACACTGGATACTTTATCCAAAAGAATACACCTCTCCTATTGTGAAGTTATGTTTTCTTTTTAAATTGTATGAGACTTCAGGCTGATAAAACATGATATAAATCATTAAAGTATGAACCTCAAAATAGAGCGCTGACACGGAATAGTAGAAAACTGTGAAAATCAAGGAGGCCCTAAAGGCGTCCTACAGTTGTAGGAATGACTGACGATACGGCACTTAACCCAATTTTGAAGCACATTTTCGATAGTTTCTGGGTCTATTTCATCAATAGACGGATATTTTCCTTAAGAACATCAATTGTTTGAGGATCGTTAGTGTACCAGCGGTCCTTAACAGTACCCCATAGGAAGTAATCCATGGGCGTCAAATCACAGCTGCGGGCTGGCCAATGAACGTCTCCAAAACGGCTAATAACGCGATGACTGAACTTGGTAGGTGCTTCATTATAATGTAGTATACCTATAAAAAGCTATGTAATACCACCATATTTATAAAATTATATTCTATCAGTTTATTTGACACAAAACTCAACAGTTCAAATGTTACCACCTGATTATATCAACATTTCACAAAATTGATCTAGAGTTTTAGAAACTCGAAATTCTAGGGCCGAATTCATTCGTTTATTTTTTTGTATTGTATTAAGTGCAATGCCGTGTAACTTACTACTCCGAATTAAGTATTATTACGCAGAAAAAATAACAATAAATGATACAAATAGAAAGCAAAAATTATGTTAATGTATCCTAATTAGTTTTTCGTTCATGATTTATTGATTTGATTCTACCAACTGATGTACAACCTTAGTTTTGCTTTAATGGGAAATATGAATTAGTAAAGGGTGGGCCATCCATTCGTTTCTTTTTTAAATTGGTATTAAAACTACACTCTTCAATAATATGTAACACTGGATACTTTATCCAAAAGAATACACCTCTCCTATTGTGAAGTTATGTTTTCTTTTTAAATTGTATGAGACTTCAGGCTGATAAAACATGATATAAATCATTAAAGTATGAACCTCAAAATAGAGCGCTGACACGGAATAGTAGAAAACTGTGAAAATCAACGAGGCCCTAAAGGCGTCCTACAGTTGTAGGAATGACTGACGATACGGCACTTAACCCAATTTTCAAGCACATTTTCCATAGTTTCTCGGTCTATTTCATCAATCGACGGATATTTTCCTTAAGAACATCAATTGTTTGAGGATCGTTAGTGTACCAGCGGTCCTTAACAGTACCCCATAGGAAGAAATCCATGGGCGTCAAATCACAGCTGCGGGCTGGCCAGTGAACGTCTCCAAAACGGCTAATAACGCGATGACCGAACTTAGTGTGTAAAAGATCGATGGTTTCACGGCTAGTGTGGCATGTTACGCCATCCTGCTGGAACCAGATATTGTACAAGTTCATGTCGTCTAATATTGGCCACAAAAAACTCCTCAACGTGTCTCTGTAGCGTTCCCCGTTTACCGTCACGCTGTTACCATCTTCATCTTGAAAAAAGTAGGGACCAATAATCCCACCACTCCAAAAGCCACAAAAAAAACAGTTACTCTTTTTGGATGCATTGGTTTTTTTATGACATGTGGATTTTCAGAACCCCAAATCGTCCAGTTCTGCTTGTTCACGTAACCTCCCAGATGGAAATGGGCTTCGTCCGAAAAGATTATTTGGCCACCAAAATTGACGTCACTTTCCAATTGATTTAGAGCCCACACAGAGAAACGATATCGAAGCG